GCAGGAAGAACACCTTGAGCCCCAACCCTGCAAAACCCCACCTGTTGCCTCCAGGAGAGACTCAAGAAGCTGCCGAGGTGAACAAGCACTCCTTCATTTCTGCCGAGCACTCCTACGCCTCCCAGATGCCTGAGCACTCCAAGAAGCACTTGTATCCCAGAGGTGGCCCCTACCCTGGACCAGCACCCTCCAGAAACGACACAAGGAACACCAGAGCAGGACCCTTGGTTGGGAAAGTCCTGCCTTTCCGCCACCAGCAGAACATCCCCCCCCACCAACAGCCCTTGGGGGCCCTGATGAGGCACAGGAGCAGCCTGCTCTCCTCCAGGCTCAAGGAGGACTTCACCAAGTCCCACAGGGTCAACATGTGTGGTGAGTCCCTGAAGGTGACCTGCCTTTGGGAGGGACAGTACCTCTTCAACCTGGACAGCAGGTACACCAACGATGACCTGGAGAAAACCATCATCCGCGCCCTGCATGGGTAAGTCAGGCTGGAGGGACACCTGCTGGGGACATCTCCTGCTGGAGTGCTTTAGGGAAGGGCTTTCCCTGCTCCTTCTTGCTTTGCTTTGCATGGTCGTTGCCTTTGTCCTCATCCTCAGTTGCACAGTTTTGCTGTGTTAAAGCTGGTGGGTCTTTGCAGAGAAGGGTTTGGGGGTGTTGGGTGAGGAGAAGCTCAACAGGAGCTGGCACCGTGTGCTGGAGCCCAGAAACCACCCTGTGTGTCCTGGGCTGTCACCAGCAGGGTGACCAGCAGGGCCAGGGAGGGGATTGTCCCCTCTGCTCTGCTCTGCTGAGACCCCCCTGCAGGGCTGGGGCCACCTCTGGGGTCCCCAGCACAAGAAGGACATGGAGCTGTTGGAGAGAGGCCAGAGGAGGCCCCGGAGATGCTGGGAGGGCTGGAGCAGCTCTGCTCTGGAGACAGGCTGGGAGAGTTGGGGTGTTGAGCCTGGAGAAGAGAAGGCTCCAGGGAGCAGCTTCTAGTGCCTGAAAGGGCTCCAGGAAAGCTGGGGAGGGGCTTGGGACAAGGGCAGGGAGGGATGGGATGAGGGAGAATGGAGGAAAACTGGAAGAGGAGAGATTGAGGTGAGACATTAGGAAGAAAGTGTGCACCCACACACCTCTCCTGCCATCCCTGTGAGTGCTGCTGCCCCCAGGGGATTAGACTCAGGATTTAACAGCCCCCAAAGGCCCTCCCTCCCTCTCTCTCTGCACCAGCTGAAATCCCCAAGTTTTGCCTACAAAGACTTTGCAGGCAAGTGGGGATCTTGCTTTTCAAGAGCCCGAGTGTTGCCAAAGCCCCACAGAAAACATCTCTTTTACTCAAGCTCAGTGTTATTGGCATTGTTCTACTGGGAAGTGTCCCTGCCCATGGCAGGAGTTTGGTACCTGATGATCTTTAAGGTCCCTTCCAACCCAAACCATTCTATGGCTCCATGATTACAGTAACATTTCAAAGAGAAATTACACAGCATGGAATTTAACACATACCTGTTTATTTCACAGAGATGAACCCGATTAATCCAGCCCATGCAGTTCATCACCATAGGTAGGAACACACAATTTCTCAGACCCCAGGGCTAGAATGAGCCATTTCAGTCCTGCCCAGGACCCCGTGAGAAGGACAGGCTTGTTCTGCACAAAGCCTCTTGGCAGACAAGTGTCCATGGAAGAGCTCAAGGATCTTTTCTATGGACTGCTCTTGTCTGGCCTTCCGGATGACCCACAGGATATGAAGAACAAATACTACTCCCAGAAGAGATTTCATGAAGAGGTTGAAGTCCTTCATGAGACTTACTCCTCATGACAGCCCAGCATCCTGAGTGTGTACATATAACTGCTTTTCCTTATCACTTATCTTCCCTTCCCTCTAAATAAATATCACTACCTCAGGAATAGGGAGGAGGGCACATGCAGCCTAAATGCTTCCAGCTTCCAGGAAAATAACCAAATCACACACACACACACAAAAATCCCCACACAAACCCCTCAACTTTCAGACTTTGGCATCTGGACTTTTTCCAATTTGCTTCCCCTCTACTATAATTATCAAACAATTTTTTCTTGCTCCCATTTCCCTGCCAAACCCACATTTCAGAGGAAAGGGCAAAAAATTGGGAAGCATCTCCCCTCTGCACCTCTCAGCCCAAAGCCCAGCCCAGAACACTGTTGCAGACCTGACAGCAGTGATCCATAAAACCAACAAAAATACTTCTACCCCAAACACGTTGACATTCTTGAATATGGGAAAGCTACATATAATAAAAACTAATGGTCCTGCAGTGCTGTGTCCTGGGCTGCATCACAAGCAGCATGGGCAGCAGGGCCAGGGAGGGGGTTCTCCTCCTTTCCTTGGCTCTTGTAAGACCCCACCTGGAGAACTGTGTCCAGCTGTGGAGCCCCCAACACAAGCAGAATATGGAGCTCCTGGAGCCAATTCAGAGGAGGCCATGGAGATGATCTGAGGGCTGGAGCAGCTCTGCTCTGGAGACAGGCTGGGAGAGTTGGGGTGTTGAGCCTGGAGAAGAGAAGGCTCCAGGGAGCAGCTTCTAGTGCCTGAAAGGGCTCCAGGAAAGCTGGGGAGGGGCTTGGGACAAGGGCAGGGAGGGATGGGATGAAGGGGGAATGGAGGAAAACTGGAAGAGGAGAGATTGAGGTGAGACATTAGGAAGAAATTCTTTGCTGTGAGGGTGGGGAGACCCTGGCCCAGGTTGGCCAGAGAAGCTGTGGCTGCCCCATCCCTGGCAGTGTTGAAGGGCAGGTTGGATGGGACTTGGAGCAGCCTGGGCTGGTGGGAGGTGTCCCTGCCCATGCAGGGGGGTTGGAACTGGATGATCTTTAAGATCCCTTCCAACCCAAACCATCCTGTGATTCCCACAGCTCTGCAGCTAGAATTGCTACCTTTGCAGCCCTGGTTTTCTCTTTTTTTTCCCAAGCTGGAAGCTGCACCACACCATCTGTGGGCATCTGCAGTCCCCTGCTTTGGGACTTACCACCCTGGGGAACCAGGAGGTAAGTTACCTTGTGCTAGTCAACCAGAGGGAGAATGAAGACATTTCAGGCTGTGTTTCCTTCTCCTTCCAGGCCCTGGGACCCTGATCTGCCTGACGACGTGGAAGAGATGAAGCTGATCCTTCATATGTGGGTGGCTCTTTTCTACAGCAAACCCAGCAAACCACTGAGCAGCACGAGGAAGGTGGTGGAGCACAGCAACCCCGAGAAGTACGTCTCCATAAACACCACTGGGGACTGTCTTGAGCTGAGTGATGATGGTGAGGACTGGTTTGGGTTGGAGACATGTCCTGCAGACTCGGGGTCAGACCCTGACCAGACTCCCAGCAGCTCTCTGGATCACAGCACTCGTTGCCAGGGCCCTCTCCACCCAGAGGAGAGCCCTGCAGACTCTCAGACTGATGCTGATGGGACTCCTGGTGTTGTTGATAGCACTGTGTCATCTTCTTCAGGGGAGCTTCCTTGTGGAGAGGAGGAGCCTTCCTCCACAAGCTGTCCTGAGAGCCTTTCCCTCAGTGAACATGCTGAGGAGAGCCAGGCTGTGAGAGACAGGCAGCCTGTGGTCAGTCCTGGGGAGCATGTCCATGATGTCTCAACTATCCTTGAGGTAAGAGCTTCAAGTTTTGGGTGATACAAGCCTAGGAGGCACGTGATGAAGTTTGTATTTAGAGCTGTGGAATGGTTTTAGTTGGGAAAGACCTTACAGATCACCAACTCCAACCATTTCCCCAGCCCTGCCAAGGTCACCTGCACCTCTGGAGCAGGCAGAAGTGTTTGGGGAGGAAAGGTGGGATCACTCTCCATAGGGTCCATGTAGGTTTGCTTGGACAGATAAACTCAGTTGAGAGAAGAGGATGCTGCTACATACACGACTTCTGGGCACTGGCTGGTGGCCCCTGCCTGGTTTAGCCTAATTTTTAAGCCATTTCAGGCTGTAAAGAAGGTAGAAAGCTTCAAAACCTTTCCCTGTCTGGCTGTGGGGCTCTGTTTGCTGGCTGCAGTGGGGGTGGTAGTGGCCCTCATGGGGGTGAGGGTTCAACCTGGGCTTCTTTTTAGAGCCAAAACTCATCTCCCCCATTGCTGTTGAGGTGGTTGAACTCACAAAGTTGGAGCTTTTAAAATATCCAGGTCCTCCTGCCTTTGCTTCCCCTTGAAGATTAACCTCTGAATGGTCTTGTTTCAGAAGGAGGCACTCAAAGAGGAGCTGCTGGACACTGCAATGACCTCCAACCCTTGGGATGAGCTCAGGGATGCCACCAAGCCCCAAGCTGCCCTGGGCAGGGAAAACCCACCCAGCCAAGCCCCAAATTCCAGTACAGCTCCTTGGAATGATGCACCGAGTGCACGGCATGGACCTGGAGAGCAGCAGGAGAGTGGGTGGACAGCAGGGCTGGGGGGTGGCCCTGGCCCTCCTGAGGGCAGGGAGGTGGTGGGAGATGTTGAGCACTCTGCTGAGGTTGGGGACAGCAGCTGGGACACCAGCAACTGGCTGCAAGGTGCCTGTGGTTTGATGCCTTTAGAAGTGCAGCCTGAAAGTGCAAAGCCCAATGGAGCCAGTGGAGAAGGGGAGGGATCACAAGACCCCTTTGGACATTCAGAGAAAGGGGAGGAAGAGGTGGAGGAGGGAAGAAGAGAGAAAGAGGACCCAGAGTCTGAAAGCACAGGCCTGGGGACTGTTGTTGCTTTAGCATTTTCTGAAAGGGATGATGCTGAGCATGGACACAGCCAGCAGAAACCTGTGGATTCAGCATCTCCAAAGGACTTTAGTGCTCTTGGAGAGGGCCCTGTGCCCAGCCCTGCTGCCTCAGCATCCCCCTGCCCAGGCAGATCAACACCAGGGCTGTCAGATGGGACTGAGAAGGACCCTCAGGGGCTTTCTGGTGAGATAACACCGAGCCTGGACACGCTGCAAGACCCCTGGGAGGCTCTGGCCCCTCCAGATGCAGAGACAAACGGGGTTGATTGGGGACAGGCAGCCAGTCCAGCCAAGGAAGGGTTGTCCTGTGCCGGGGGTGGGTCGGTGCTGCCCTTCCCATCCCATCCCAATCCTGCCGGGGGTGCAGGGCCAGACAGCGCCACGGGAAACCTGAGCCCTGCTGGAGAGAAGCTCCGGGAGTGCTTGGAGCAGCAAGACGAGGATCGTGCGCCCTCTGCAGAAAAGTGGGCGCCACCAAGCCCCAAGCTGCCCTGGGCAGGGAAAACCCACCCAGCCAAGCCCCAAATTCCAGTACAGCTCCTTGGAATGATGCACCGAGTGCACGGCATGGACCTGGAGAGCAGCAGGAGAGTGGGTGGACAGCAGGGCTGGGGGGTGGCCCTGGCCCTCCTGAGGGCAGGGAGGTGGTGGGAGATGTTGAGCACTCTGCTGAGGTTGGGGACAGCAGCTGGGACACCAGCAACTGGCTGCAAGGTGCCTGTGGTTTGATGCCTTTAGAAGTGCAGCCTGAAAGTGCAAAGCCCAATGGAGCCAGTGGAGAAGGGGAGGGATCACAAGACCCCTTTGGACATTCAGAGAAAGGGGAGGAAGAGGTGGAGGAGGGAAGAAGAGAGAAAGAGGACCCAGAGTCTGAAAGCACAGGCCTGGGGACTGTTGTTGCTTTAGCATTTTCTGAAAGGGATGATGCTGAGCATGGACACAGCCAGCAGAAACCTGTGGATTCAGCATCTCCAAAGGACTTTAGTGCTCCTGGAGAGGGCCCTGTGCCCAGCCCTGCTGCCTCAGCATCCCCCTGCCCAGGCAGATCAACACCAGGGCTGTCAGATGGGACTGAGAAGGACCCTCAGGGGCTTTCTGGTGAGATAACACCGAGCCTGGACACGCTGCAAGACCCCTGGGAGGCTCTGGCCCCTCCAGATGCAGAGACAAACGGGGTTGATTGGGGACAGGCAGCCAGTCCAGCCAAGGAAGGGTTGTCCTGTGCCGGGGGTGGGTCGGTGCTGCCCTTCCCATCCCATCCCAATCCTGCCGGGGGTGCAGGGCCAGACAGCGCCACGGGAAACCTGAGCCCTGCTGGAGAGAAGCTCCGGGAGTGCTTGGAGCAGCAAGACGAGGATCGTGCGCCCTCTGCAGAAAAGTGGGCGCCTGTTGGCAGCAAAGCCACCAGCACAGCTGGCCCCGAGTCACCCTGCAGCCAGGGGCTGTCACTAACCGTGTCCCCTGACTCCAGCTCTGCGTGCCTGACAGCTCCTGATGGAGCCACAGATCCTGCTGCTGCTCCAGAGGACCAGGAGCTCCAGGCAAACAACCAGGCCCCATCACAGAGTGACCTGGGAGGGAGCAGCTCCCAAAGGTGTGGAGACAACGTTGGTGCTGACCTCACTTCTCTGAGCACTGGTGGATCCAGCCAAGAAGGGGACGTGGGTTTGGTGGAAGAGCAGCAGAGCAGCCCTTCTGCCAACTGCAGGGATGTGCTGGATGAGCCCTCAGGAGCAGGTGGTGGCCAAGGCTTCACCTTCCACTGCACAGCCTCAGCAGGTGACTCTGAAGCTGGAGGGGGTGAGGAGGTGTGTCCCAGTGTAGAGAAGCCCCCCGGGAGCAACAGAATGGACACAGCCATGGTGGCTGACACACCTCAGGAGCCAGAGACCTCTCTTCATCACCTCCTGGAACCAGAGCCCTCCTCCCCACTGAGAGAGGGGGTGTCTGCCACGAAGGAGCACCCCAGGAAGCAGCAGAGCTCCCCAGATGGCCTGTCCCAACCTGCCCACAGAGGCTCAGCTCCTGCTTCTCCCTCCCAGCAGGACCCTCTTCTCCCCCCTGGTGGAGACGCAGACCCTCCCCACCACTTGTCAGAGCAAAGCCAGCAGGGGACAGCCCTGTGCCAAGGTGGGGGGTCCTGCCAGCCAGGAGGTGCTGCAGAAGTGAGCGTGGCTGCTGAGAGCTCCTCAGAGCCCGGGAGTGCAGAAAAGGGGACACATGACACAGGCCAGTGCCCTGCAGAGCCAGCAGGGAGCTCCCCCACCCAGCTGCTGCTGCCAGGCCACCCAGGATTGGTGCCACCTTCTCCTCTGCCTGCTCACAAAGCAGGTCTGCCCAGCTCTGAGCCCAGCTCACTCCTCCTCAGTGTCCACCCTAAGATGCTCTCTCCTGGCAGGAGTTCTGCTCCATGGTCCTGCTGCAGGGGGGACGAGGAGGAACCCATCCTGCCCGAGGGTCTGGAAGGAGGAAGCAGTGTCCCTCTTGCCAGCCCTGCATCTTCCCCAGAGGCCAAGGGATCCCATGCTTTTGCTGAAGATCTGCCCCATCCCAGCATGGAAGTGGGAGAGGGAGAAGAGCCCAGGAGGCTTTCTGGAGAAAGCCTGGACCTTGGTGACACCAAGGATACTTCAGACCTCCCGAGGGCAAAGCAGCTCCCCAGCACAGACGGACATGTGGGCTCAGCCTTTGAAGACCCTTTAGAGCCTTCTTCCCCCAGCCACTCAGACCAGGAATATTTTGGGGGGACTTCCCAGTCTCTGCTGGCAGCCAGAGGTTCCTGCACCAGGGATGTTGCAGGGAGAAGGACCGAGGGTGGCTCAGAGGGGAGCAGGGAGGACTGGGGGTCGCTGGGGGCCGAGCGGAGCCCCTCGATCATCAGCCCGGGGGACATCGGCCCGGGGGAAACCAGCAGCGGGCACGTTCCTCCCTGGGTCAACATCAGGGACAGGCAGGGAGTGCTCCAGGACTACCAGAACTTCGTGGTCACCAGGAAGTGCCAGGAGAGGACAGGAAACGTGCAGCCCCCCAGGAGGCGCAGCCACTGCGCGGGGGAGTCGCACTTGTTGAGGTCGCTGATGAGGACTTGGGGGGGTTTTGAGGAGATCACCCAGCAGACCCTGGACATGGAGTGTCTGCGTTTCCATTATAAGCTAAAGCAAATCCTGAGGGGTGGGAAACCACCCTTTTCTACCTCCAAAAGCATCTTTCCAAAAGACTTTTCTCCCCGGGTGATGTCTGAGACGTCGCCTGTGCCCGGAGCTCCCGTCCCGCTGTCCGCACGGAGCAGGAGCCCTTTGCAGGTGACCATCCTGCCCTCTGAGACCTGGCTGAGCAGGCTTGGCTGGCACCACCAGCAAAGCAGGTGGCATAGGGACCTGTGTGCCCCCTGGCAGGAAACCCTCTGTGACCAGAGGAGCAGGCCCAGACCCCAAACCACCAGCCAAGGCCACCTGCATCCCTTCCACCTCAGCAAGCTGAAATGTGACAAGCTGAAGGACTCCAGGGGGGACGTGGCTGAGTTCAACGGGGCCAGGCTGGGGAGGGAGGGTGGAAGGATGGTCCCAGCCCTTGGGGAGGCCACGAGGGAGTGGCCTTGCCCCAGGGAGGTAGTTGTCTTGGAGGAGATGATCGTGGACCTGTGCAGCACCCTGAGCTTCCGCCTGCACAGCCTGGCCCGGGAGGCCTGTGCCCACGCCGGCCACTTCTACCTGGTGGAGACAAGTGAGGACCCTTTCTTTGCAAAAGTGAAGGTAATGGCTGGTCCTGCTGGCCTGGATGGGGACGGGTGGCCCTGGGGTGAGAGCTGAGGGCAGTGGGAGTAGGCACAGGGTGAGCTCACTCAGCCCAGCATGGCCATTTCCCCCCAGCTGCCACCACCTGGAATTAGAATAATGGAATCATTTTGGTTGGAAAAGACCTTGAAGATCCTCCAGTCCAACCCTTCCCCCAGCCCTGCCAAGGCCACCCCTGCCCCGTGTCCCTCAGCACCATCTCCAGGGCTTGGAAACCCCTCCAGGCATGAGGACTCTACCTGCCCTGGGCAGCCTGGGCCAGGCCCTGACAACCCTTTCCAAGAAGGAATTGTTCCCCAGATCCAACCTCAACCTCCCCTGGCACAACTTGAGGCCCTATCTTCATTTTCTATCCCTTGAACATCCCCTGAGCCAAAACAGGTTGAAGTTGATGCAGGAGCAGCCCAAACTCAACCCTTCCCATGGTGGCTTTTGCTTGAACTGTCATTAAGGGGTTGGAAACTCTGGGAGGGTGATTGCCCAGGAGGATTTGCTGCTCCAAAGTAACAAAGAGACCTGATGCCACCTCGAGGTGGTTTTCTAGAAGTTTTTTGCCAACAAAGGTCAATGGCTGCTTCATCCTCCTCTGGCTGGAGCACACCAAACAGCCACCTTGGCCCCAGGATGCTGGGCTGGGGTTGCTGTCATGCTCCTCCTTCCTCTCCCCAGACACCTGTGCCAGGAGTGTGTCACCACTCTGGTGAAGATCTCCCTACAAACCTTCTTAGGTGCTGCCATGATCTCTGTTCCAGAGCCTGCTGAAGGCAGATGGTCGCCTGGAGATGGAGCCCCAGAGCTTCTGCAAAGCCAAACACCCAGACACCCAGAGGCTGCTGGTGGTCATCAGGAACGAGGACATTTCCTCACACATCCACAAGGTGAGGAGGCCTCAGCCCATCCTGTGTTCTTTTCTTGCCAACACTGGGGTTTTGAGTATCAGGATCCACTTCAGAGGGTTTCCCACCTGACACACTGTGGGTGGGACTGTCAGTCTCTGCAGAGACACTGTTCTCTGTGCTGAAGGAACTTCATGAAGAGCTGTTGAAAACAAGTGTCTCAAAAACATAAAATCACAGACTCATTCTGGTTGGAAAAGACCTTTTAAGATCATCATGTCCAACCATGGACCCACCAAGTCCAGAGCTAGAACATGACCCCTGTCAGCCCATTTTTAATTGCTGAGGAGCTTCACTTGGAGGAGCCAAGCTCAGAGCAGTCAGGCTGGTCTTGTCTCATGTCACAGGGCAGCTCAGCTGGGCTTTGGCTGGTGGGCTCCAGTGGATATTGCAGCAGACTGAGCCACCAGTAGCTCCCCATATCACCATCTGCTGCTTTGGGGTCAGGCTGTGGGGACATGAACATGTGTCGGATGAGGACAGGGTGGGCTCCCCAGGTTCCTCAGGAGCAGGTGTGAGCTGCAAAGCTCCCCCAAGGGTCAGTGCTGGGGCTGGTCTGGTTCAACATCTTCATCAACGACCTGGATGAGGGGACAGGGTGTATCTTCAGCAGGTTCATTGATGATTCCAAACTGGGAGGGGTGGTGACACTCCAGAGGGCTGTCCTGCCATCCAGGGTGACCTGGACAGGCTGGAGAGCTGGGCAGAGAGGAACCTGGTGAGGTTCAACAAGGGCAAGTGCAGGGTCCTGCACCTGGGGAGGAAGAACCCCATGGACCAGTAGAGGTGAGGGTTGGACCTGCTGGAGAGCAGCTCTGAGGAGAAGGAACTGGGAGTCCTGGTAGGTGGTAAATGATCCCTGAGCCAGGAATGTGCCCTGGTGGCCAAGGAGGCCCATGGGATCCTGGGGTGCATGAGGAAGAGTGTGGCCAGGAGGTGGAGAGAGGTCATTGTCCCCCTCTGCTCTGCCCTGGTGCGGCCTCATCTGGAGAACTGGGACCAGTTCTGGGCTGCCCAGTTCAAGAGAGACAGGAACTACCAGAGAGAGTCCAGGGAGGGCAACAAAGGTGAGTGGGGGGTTGGAGCATCTCCCTGATGAGGAAAGGCTGGGAGAGCTGGGGCTGTTCAGCCTGGAGAGGAGAAGGCTGAGGGGAGACCTTCTTAATGCCTCCAAGTGTCTCAGGGTGGGTGCAGGAGGATGGAGCCAGACTGTGCTCAGCAGTGCCCAGGGGCAGGACGAGGGGCAATGGGCACAGGCTGGAACATGGGAAGTGACATGGAAATGGGAGGGAAAACTTCTTTGCTGTGAGGGTGACAGAGCCCTGGGACAGGCTGCCCAGGGGGGCTGTGGAGTCCCCTTCTCTGGAGACTTTCCAGACCCACCTGGGGAATGTGCTCCAGGGGATCCTGCTTTAGGGGGGGCTGGACTGGCTGATCTCCAGCCCTGACAGCCCCGGGGCTTCAGAGAGGTGCAAACTCTGTTTGAAAACCCCTCTCCACACCCTGTCTGGCTGGAGCAGGTGCCCTGCTTGCTGAAGCTGAAGCAGAGCCCCAGCGTGGTGTTCGCTGGGCTGGACAGCCCCGAGGACCTCACCAGTGGCACCTTCCAGGAGCTGTTTCACACCGGGGGCTTCGTGGTGTCGGACAACAAGGTGCTGGAATCCGTGACCCTGGGTGAGTCCTCTGAGCCTCTTCCCCTTGGGTGCAGACACTGGGTCAGCTCCTGCCTCACCTGCTGCTTTGCTGACACCTTCCAGAAACTTCCCACCATGTCCTCTGCTCCTGCTTTGGTAGGGGAAGCTCATTTCCCTCTGCCCCCTTCCCAAGCTGGACTGTGGGTCCTGATCTGGGCTTCCAAGAATATCTGAAGTCCAGTGAGGGCCACCAAGATGGTGAGGAGCTGGAGCAAGGGTTGGGCAAGGAGGTTCAGCCTGGAGAAGGGATGGACAAAGGGGAGACCTTGTTGCTGCCTTAATGAGAAGTGGCAGAGAAAATGGAGCCACACTCCTGGAGTTGCTCACGGATGGGACAAGAGGTGCCAGGGACAAGTTGTTTTTACTCTTCAAGGTACTAGGAATTAAAAAAAATCACAAGGTGTTCAAACTCCAGGATGGGATCCCAGTTTCCCAACCCAGGTTGTGAGTCTCCATCCTTGGAGATATTCAGACCTCACCTGAGCAACCTCAGCTGGCCCAGGGTTGAGCAGAAGTTGGGCCAGAGATCCCCCCCCAGCCACCCCTTTTCCACCCTTGGTTACCCTTTGCTTCTTGTCTCCTCAGGCCAACTGAAGGAGGTGGTGAAGGTGCTGGAGAAGCTGAACAGAAGTGGGAGGTGGAAGTGGCTCCTTCACTACAGGGAGAGCAAGAAGCTCAGAGAAGACATCAGGTAACAATTGGTGGCTCCCACTTCTCTGCTGTCCTTGTCACCACAGCAAGGACATCCCCACCAGAGTGGTCTGTGGTGTCCCTTGTTACCTTCAGTGCAGGGACACAGGGTGAGTTAGGTGCCTCTGCTTGGGTTTTGGCTTCTCACAAGTTGAGTTTGAGGATTTTTTTTGGTTTAAGTAAGAACTTTCTTCCTTGGGTGGGAGACCCTCTGTGGGCACTGCAGCCCAGGAGGGGCTTGAGGAAAGGCCCCAGAAGTGGCTGGAGGAGCTGCAGGCTGCAAAAGCTGCCTCTGCAAACTGAGCTGCCTTCCCACCAGCTCAGCCCAGCTCCTACACACACCCACCAGGATCTCAGGAGACCTCCCTGGGCCTCTCTCTTGCCCCTCCATCTCTTCACTCTTTCATTTTCTCGTCAGGTGTTTGGGCTGTCAAGTTGAAAATGTGGGAGAGGAGCTGGGGTGTCCTGAGTCCAAAACCTCTGGGAGAAGCAGAACTTCTCCTCTTGCTTTCTCCTGCTCGTGGAGGTTCTTTGCAGCAACAAGAAGAGAAAGAGAAAAGGGTGGACAAGTTCCATGGGAATGTTGGGCTTTTATCATGGTTGAGCTCAGAGAGGGGTGATGTTGTTGGGCAGGCTGCCCAGGGGCAGGGAAGGACAACCTCCCAGTAACCACCTGGGAGCAAGGAGGAAACTTCTCTGAGCAGAAAATGCCACCACAAACCAGGAGGAACCTGGAGAATCGTAGAACACAGAAAGGTTTGGGTTGGAAGCGACTTTCAGGATCATCTAGATCCAACCCCCTGCCATGGGCAGGGACACCTCCCACCATTCCAGGCTGCTCCAAGCCCCATCCAACCTGCCCTTCAACACTGCCAGGGATGGGGCAGCCACAGCTTCCCTGGGCAACCTGGGCCAGGCTCTCCCCACCCTCACAGCCCAGAATTTCCTCCTCGTGTATAAAAACACTCGTGAGGCTGGAAGGGGCCACACGTGTCCCATCACACCCGCTGATTCCTTGGGAGGGGGCCAGAGGGCTGAAGCCCCTCCCCACCTTCACCTTGCCCCTGTCCTAGCAGGGTGGATGCTGAGGCCCAGAAGAAGCACTTCACCCTCAAGTCCTGCCAAGGAGCTGAGCTGGTCGAGGTGCTGCACTATCACGGCTGCGACGCCGCCGCCGCCCCCGACTCGGAGCACGTCCAGTGCCTGTTGAACCTGCAGGTCCAGCACGTCGGTGCCAGGCTCGCCGTGTATCTCACAGGTAGGGAAGGGCTCTGGGTGCTGCCCTGTGCCCTCAGCACCCACCAGCACCCACCGGGATTGGCCTGGGAGTTGGTGGAGGAGGGAGAAGAAACGCTGGGTTTCGCTGCCGCTAGAAGTGCTTGGTGGGTAAAGTGGGAGTTGGAGTCATTGGATGGAAGAGCAGCCCTGAGGAGAAGGGTTTGGGGGTGTTGGGTGAGGAGAAGCTCAACAGGAGCCATCAAAGCCACCCATGTCCTGGGCTGTCACCAGTAGGGTGACCAGCAGGGCCAGGGAGGGGATTGTCCCCTCTGCTCTGCTCTGCTGAGACCCCCCTGCAGGGCTGGGGCCACCTCTGGAGTCCCCAGCACAAGAAGGACATGGAGCTGTTGGAGAGAGGCCAGAGGAGGCCCC